TACAAAGGTCGAAAATCGCTGATCTATAACAGTGTTTCCCAACGAGAGAGAGGGGAGTGAATTCCTCCCTAGGGAGGAATTTAGGTACTGTGTGAGGGATAATACAGCGATGATGGAATTGTAAGAATAAAATATATAATGTGCACATTTACCATATCTAAAATTAAAAACAATCTATTTTATATTTTCAATTAATAGGATGCAATTTTTTTTAAATCTACAAGGAGAGCACAGAATAAAAAAGTTGAGAAACACTGATTTACATATAATATTATAAAACGGTAAATCAAAACGCAATGCGTACCTACATCATACTTTAAAACGCCGTTACTTGCGAATTTATTTATAATTAAGAAATAATATAATTTTACAGGAGAGGTATAGAAAAAAAAAAACATGTCGGTAGATATACGAGTGAGGGTAGGAAAAGTGACGTGTACTCCCCAGTTTCGACGGGGAAGGAGACTCGACGAAGAAGAGTTAAAATTATTATAATATAATAAAGCGATTTTCTTAAGGTTATTTTGTAAAACACTCTGGTAGTTTTTTTATAACACTATAATAATATAGTAGTGAAAATGTACAAAAATAATTATTTTATTAGTAATACTTAAGTTTTTCAGTGACCAACGCTGAATAGTTTAGATTATTTTTCCTTTGGCCGAAGTCTTTTAATTCCCTCCCTCCTCCCCTGGATACGCCTTCGGGAAGGAACGTCCCCTATATACAAATTAGGTCATGAATAATTTAACTGTGGATTTAACCCCGCTTTGTTGATCTGCAAGCTTCGAAATAAATAAATAATTTTTTTTTTACATTCATATTTGACCTGAATAAGGAGAAAAATGTATTTTTTCATTCAAATTCATCAACTCACGTTCGGAATCATTTGCGTGCGGTTATGCGAAGTTAAAAAATAACTACACTTGTCTATACACAAGCCGAATGAATAAAATCCGAGCCCCACTTATTTGCCGATTTGTCGAAAAGTCGTGTTTACCGATGGGTAAATACATATATGTATCTGATGTAAATAGGTATTATAACGCAAACTAAAACTCGAATGTTTGAAAAACGTCCTAGGATAATGGGGTAGAATGCAACCACTGTTATAGCTAATTTAATGTATACCTGTAAACAACGATAAACCGTCGCTAACAAAAAAACGATTCTGAGCGGAGTTCACTTGATAGTGATGCTTTGTCAACAATATATGTCATATCATGGTAAAATAATTAAATGGGTACCATATATATTTTTTTTAATAATATTTGTTTAATGTACCGATTTTCCCGGTTTTCCCGTGTTTTATGCCGGTATTTCCCATTTGCTGAGAAAACTCTTGCAAAAATCGAATGAGCTCCCTAAATTACCTCCCCGCACCAATTTACTTTCAGAAAAGGTGCTACACTTCCACCTTCTTCCTAGGCATTTGTTTTCATTCAATTCTGACACGGCCAAAACCAAAAATGAATATGGGAACGCCGGGCGCGGGACAGCTAGTATATTATAATTAAATATGATATTTGTTTTACAAATTGATAACGATTTACGATATTACTCGCCATCGTATAATAATATAGTCTTCAAAGTAATGAAATTAAAACTTAGAAGTAGTAGCATAATAAAAAAAAACCCTTTGTGATACAAACAAACATTTGTTTTTCAATTGTTTAGATGCATTATTTTACGAATAAATATAATATATTTTTAATTTTTTTCATAATTTTGACACATGCGCGTAATAAATTCCATACATACGCGTAATTTCGCCTCTTTGATATTTTGCAATATATTGATATTAGTCTTATTTGTTCTGACGCGCGGTTCCGAACTTTCAAATCTTTTGGAAATTTCGGGATGCTGACAATTTGCAATTTTATATGCCTATACGTTATATGTAATACACGGGTATAATATTTTAGAAAGACGATAATCTTATGGCAAACTGCAAACGTTGAATTTACAACGGACGATATCGCTTTAATGCGGGGGCGTATTTAATCGGCCTTTTAGGGAGCGAGCGAACTGGTAATACATTTTTTTTTCTTTACCATTTGCTCAGAGATAAAAGATAATTGATGATTTTTCGACAGGCCCGTGCGTAAGAAAAGGGAAGGAGGGTCGGGGATTCAAACCCCGTAGCCTTTATTTCCGTTTGCAGCTTTACAGTAATTAGTTTTATCCAATTAAAAGTAAGTTTACTTCTGCAGGACTGCCGCAGTAGTATTAAAGTGATCGAAAACTTATAAAATTCATCTTCTTAACTTTTGATTAATTACACTTAATAATGATATTTAACACATATACAATAACGTGCAGTGTAAAATAATACAATCATAATGAAACTTCACTAAAATAATGTTAGATGGTTTTATGCATATAAATATAGGTATATGAAAAATGCACGTAAATATAATATTGTTTGCTAATGAGTTGAGAATTTTGTTTTTTTTTGCTAGTAAAATCGCGACATACTAAAATAATAAATACACAGCCAGGTACATAAAAACTGCTGATCCGGGGGAGGCGATCACCCCAATCGCTCCCCCTCTCTAAAACACGCCCCTGCAGCTTTGATGGCAAATGAATAAATACAATCTCGTTTACCGGAATACAGTGTACCCACCGGCCGGTAAACGGTCATTGCGGAATGGCCGAAAACGCTGTACTGTAATACATCGCTGACCAAAACGGGAAAGGTTCATTTTGGCCGAAAACCGTTCCGCCCATACAGACTGCGCCAAAACGCAGTTATAGGAGGATGGAATAATTACCGTCGATTGTACAAACATTTGTACATGGTGTTAACATGGATGCGCCGTTTGAGCGTTTCGTCTTATGAAAACCACGCCCACGACCATTTTGTGCTAAAATTTCACATTTTTTTTTTTTTTTTGTTTTTCTTCGGGAGTAGATGGGTAAATATAATAGATGATAATACGTACCTATATAATAGCCGGCATTTTGCACGTATTACGCATGCCTGTTGTATTATACCGGCTGTATAATACGGTGCGCCTATTCTGTATGGGTATTATCATACGAAGTGGCTATTTTCTTCGTACGTGTTTTTTATATAAAATGTCCGTCTAACTCCCGGTCGATCGTAATAATGATAATGCTGACCAATTCGGGATATTGATAGGCGCTAAAGATATTATCAACCACAGGCCACAGTAGGTACCCCGATTGTACCGAGGTCACATTATTTTATCGCACAGTTATTTACAAATAATTGACAATAATACAACCAAATAAATAAAACAAATACCACGCTTAGAAGAAAAGACAAAAATCGCATCATATAATTTAGGGAAATATTCGTTATTTTGGTTTACCCATTTTCTATTTAATAATTCGTGTATAAAGTTTAGTTTTTTTTTTTTTTTTTTTTAATTGTAAGTTAACTATTAGATACCTACCGCCTAGTAAATTGTTTTTGTTATTCAAGTAATACTTTTATTCTACAGCCATTACAAAGCCACTTATCAATACCTAACTGAACCTAACCTACCACGAAGAGATAACAGCCATGTAACAAACCGTGCATATATTATATCTGTGATACATCAAGTGTACCTATCTATGTTTCGATTTCTCTAATACCAAACACAATACGTGTATTGCTTATGTTTACTACTGTCATAATCAATGTTACAACCTATCAGGGGGCAGGTTAGGTTTCTTATCGGACGTGAAAATATATAGTTTCCACAGAGCGTATACACAGACTTGTAGCTTTATGCATCCGTGATAGTTTCACGTACGACGTGAAAATTCAAACACCCCCCGAAATGTTTGGTTTTTGTATGGCCATTTACTTATTCCATTGCTATGTTACGTTATTGTTTTAATATTCAATAACTGATTTTCAAAAACACCACCCAAAACTTTTTTCTGGGTACGTCCCTGGCCACCGCTATTATCATATTACCTGTGGTACCTATACGGGATTTTTTTTTTTTTTTTTCAAACGAGTGATTAAGTACCTACGTCGCGGATCACGGTTTAAGCCTAATTCCGATCCTTCAAGTTTATAATACGAACAATCGAGTTATCAATTTGTATAAACAATCGACAAATACATACGCCGCCAGAGATGTTTCATAAAGTGTTTTGACACTAGGCGATATTTAAATGATGCGCCAACAAAAATACAGTCGCGCACATTTCCATCTGGGTGCCTGCCTATCTGCCCGCCTGATCGGTGAACGCGCGAGGACGAGAAACTTTTTCGTTGTACGGGCAAACCCGGGCGCGGCACAGCCATCATAGCAAAATGTTATCCAAATTTTTACCCGATTATTCGTATTCGCGATTTTTAATTGGTGTTTTTACAATGAATAACATTCAAAGGTATTACAAAACGGGTGGGCGGAAATTCGGTTCTATCGCAACGAAACCAATTAAAGAAAATGTCTTTTTCAACGGGTAACGCCTTTTATTTTTTTTGATACGGAATAGGATTTACATTCCGTAGTATACTCTGTAGGACGACGGGTATATTATTATATACGGTATAATACGTGCATTATTACATGCACCTACCTACCGGCGTATGAAATATCGAAGGCCGAAAAGTCTCGCCATCCCGTCGCGCTGCGTTGTAAAATTTCGCCAACGGTAACAGGTGTATTTCGCCTCTCACCCGGACACTCGTTAGTTTTACTTTCGGGGGTAAAAACCCACCTGCGACGCCGGGCTAGTACCACGGTTTCGGTGGGGAGAGAGAATATACGGCGACATCGGAATTCGCCCGCTCCCGTCGCGAAACCCGCGGCCGACGTCGCGGGGGCGGGCGCCGGGGCGCACTGACACCGCACGCGCACGACGGCGATTGGCGGTCTACGGACGGCCGCTATCACGTAGAATATTTCCGTTCGCGGTGGGTGGCTACACTGTATCGGTGACGTCGCGGCCGTAACAGCGACGGGGTGGGGATATCGTCGCGGCTACGCACATACGCGCGCCACACAAAAACACGCAAACACACACACACGCACACGCGCGCAATAATCCGAAAAACGACTCTTTATCATTATCAACTTTACTTTTGAGTTTAGTCTACGGTGAGTGTTGTTGTTCGGTCGGTCGTCTTTGTGTCGTCGCCAACTCCGCTCGGACGAACACGACCACGACGCGCGCACGAAGTTTACGCGGGACGTGTATGGCCGGATTCGCGCGGGACAAGGACGTAAGTGTGTTGAATAATTATATTAGCAACGGCACGCGAACAGGTATAGCCGCTGTCGACGACGACGCCGCCATTACCGACCGACGGCGTACAAGGCGAACTCCGTCGGCTCGCGCTCGTTCTGCCGGGGCATGTCGGACGCCTCGGTGCCCGATTTTGCCGGGTCTCTCCTCGTCGACCGGCCGATCTCGGATGGCGGACAAAGTATTTCGTTGGCGTCCCGTCACCCAAGCTACTGAATTCCGTTCTCGTCCCGCCTTTGTCGTGCGGCCATTCCCCCACAATATTCCCGTTCTCGTTGTTTTTTTTTTTTCTCTTTAATTCGCCCCAACAATAATTACTCGACATCACAATTGGATATTTTACATTTTAATCGCCCACCGCGGCTCCGTATATTATGCTCTTTAACGTTCACTCGTATAGTATATACTGTTACATTTATGATAATAATTCAATTCGCCATGAAATCTCGGAACGTTCTAATTATTCTACGATTTTTGTATTTGTTCGTTTCTACGTGTCGATTATTTAAAAAAAAAAAAAAAATAATAATTTTACATATTATTGTACTACTAGTTAAATTGGTCAACACATTTCGAAAACGATATATTAGTTTTAGGCGCATACGTATACCTATTTAGTATTATAATCGCTTACTCGATTACCGTCATTCTTATTTTCGACTAGCTCGTGGATATTTCTACCGTACACATTTTTCCTTTTATTTAAATGTTCAATATATTTACTGACATATCTATTTATTTTTTATACCCAGATTTGAATTATGTTAAAGGAAATTTGAACTTTGCAACACAATCACAATCATGGCTTCAAATCACATTATGGAGTTGCAAAACTGTTTGCCGCCTATGAAAAATGGTAAATTATTGTAAATTATTATTTCGATAAATATTATCATTTTACTGTAAACTTGAGTTCATGATTATAATTTTGAAAATTAATATTCACCCTTTTTTTCTTTTTTTAAATATACTTTATATTTTAAATGTTTGTACGTTTACAGTAAATTGAATGATTAAGTGTACTTATGTTTAATTTAAAAATCATTAACATTATGATACATATTATGAAAATAAATTATAGTAGGTTAGATTTTGCAATGTGTTTTAAAAATAAAAATATTATGGTTACTGTTCTAAAGTGGCCACTATATGTAAGAAGTTGGGAAAGTAAGATTTATAAGATACTGTAGTTTGTATAATGTATGCAACGATTAGTCATTGTAAACAAAGAATGATTTTGAGCGGAGTGCGTTTTTTTTACAACTTTAAATTGAAAATATAACAATTATTGTTGTTTATAATTTTAATACATTTAAACTTTGAGTATCTATTTCAAAAAAAAAAAAACCATCGCCACAAATATCCGATATTTTTATAATAGGTACCTATTTCAAAAAAAAAAAAAACCATCACCACAAATATCCGATATTTTTATAATAGGTACTAATTTTCTATACAATTTTTAATCATTTATACAAAGCTGAAAATGTTTATTGACATGAAACCAATAAATTTGACTATTTTAAAAGGCTATAAATAACTAGGTTAAAAACGTATGGATATTTTTGAAAATATTATACCACGTCTAGAAATGCTCGTATAATTATTCAATGGAAATTTCAAATCCTGACAATTATTTTTACTTTAATTTGGTACACAACTAACAAACAATTATAAGCAAATAAAAAAAATGTTTGACTATTCATCAAGTAGACAAAATTTCTAGTTGTATAAATAGTAAAACTAACATATTACTCACTTTGCTCAGAATCTAATATTTATGTAGCTGTTAAATTTTGTTACGTACCTATTAATGATAGTTAATATTATTTCAATAATACTAGTTTTTAAACCGATAATACTGTATAAGGACATTTTTATTTATGTAATAGGTACTTATTGACGATATCTAACTATTTAGATAAGCTAGATAACAAAAATCTTGTAATTTTTTTTGGTTGTTGTTTCGTGTTTATGTGTTCAATTAAAATTAGTCGACTTACGATTAATTAAAATATAAAACTGAAAAATTTGACCTTTCTCTATTTTTTAGTTTTCTTTTCAATTTCTTAATAATTTTTGAAATAAAATAAGTTGATAGTCATTAATATTGTTTCTATTTCATCAATTAAAAAAATACCCCATTATTTTAAAATAATTGTTTAATATTGTACTCATCGACTAATATTAATTGTACAAGGTGTATTTAGTTTTAGTATGATAAAATTATAATATTATATTATGTTGTATTAGGTATAGATTATAAATTAAATGATATTAATGATCAACAAGAAATGATCGCCAATTCTCAAGGATGGAATTCACATGATATTATGATACCAGTTCCAATAAAAATGCAACCACCCCTTATGTTGGACCAAAATAATCTTCAAATGCCTAACCAAATTCCACATCAAAATATGTTGCATACAAATCCCCAAGTGCATTTTGAACAAGTAAATACATAATATAAGTTGTTTATTATAAGAGATACTAAAAATTTGTGGTTTCAGGGTTTACCAATTGGTACATATATAGAACCAGAATTACCAATTGAATTGTTACAACAGGGATGGAAGAAATTTTGGAGCAAACGTGAGAATAGGCCATATTTTTGGAATAAGTTAACTGGTGAATCACTTTGGGAATTTCCACCACTGAGACAGGTATTTATAAACTACAAATCGATTCAATTATTAATCATTTTATATATTTTAAAAATTTGAATTTTTAGTTTGATGTTACGTCAGACCCTCTGGGCATTACACATGATGTGAACCCAGATTTAAACCCTGATGGAATCCACAATCCAAACAACAACTTAATGTTATTGAAAAAGAGACCAGCAGAAGAAATCATCTTGGGTCCGATAATGAAAAAAATTATTATAACGTAAGTATAGATTTTAGATTTAAAATAATTAATGTTTTTTGCATTTTATATTATTTAAAATAGTTTTAATTTTATATTTAGTTAGTTTGTGATATACATTTTTTGTTTAAAACTTATCAATTGAAATATTTTAACTTTTTCAGAGGCCCGTGGGAACTAGAAATTCCTACAAATGTAATTATATATGAGAGGTCACCATCCACATTATCTCAACCCCATCCAGAAATTGAATTGTATCGTGGTAACCTTGTTGCAAAATTAAGACAATGTTATCAAGAGTTGTGTCAGTCTCGAGAAAGTTAGTGTTTAAACTAATATAGGTATTGGTTTGTTACCGCCCCCGCTTTGCCATCCTAAAAAATATATCATCTCGCCACTCAGGTTTTTTTTTCATACATAGTTCATGTTTGCAGAATGATATTGAAGTAATTTCATGAAGTAGAGAATTTTGTGAACTAGGAATCTTGAATCTTTAAACCAGTTATCAACTCTAATGATTTTTTCTTTATGATATTTTCTTCTGTGAAACTGCCATTAGAACTGTTTAAAAAAAAATTGTTTGAAAGTTTACATAACTACAACTTATTTGAATAAGATTTTTAGATTGCAAAAATTGAATATCATATTTGTTTAAATAAATCTATTGAATTTATTTTTAAACAATAAAACACATATAAGGACAGAATTTTGTTTTATGTTCTCGATTAACTTTTTTGTCAAAAATTTTGTTATTTTTTCAGTGTTGTGTTTCAATACATTATATCAAACCAATTGACTTGCCTTTTTATATCATGTTTTTTTTTTGGGGGGGGGGGGGTGTTTTGAATATGTTGTTATTTTAATTTAATTTTGGTTATAATTTTATAAATAGTAAAACTTCTATTTTTTTATGTAGATAAAATTAAATTCAATATTTTTACAAAATCTATTTAATATTACATATTTTAAGGTATTTTGCTATAATCATAGGTGTGGGCAGATTTCTGTGTCTTCTTTCTCATACAAACAGTTTTAAAAGTAATTTCTTGTTGGTGACTGGCAAATATAAACATCCATTTTTCATTAAGATCATGATTTATCAACATCAATACTAATTTAAGGATATATTAATGAAATAAATAATTAAAAAACATTTGAAATATTTATATACAGGGTTTCCCACAAATATTGCCCACTGTAATATCTCCTGAGATAATAAAACTTTGTTTTTAATATATATATTATATATAGTGGAACCTCAATAACTTGAAATAAATACTGTTCCTTTTCAAAAACCTAGATGTTTTGAAAGAAAATGTATTAATAACATTTTATGTTCTGAATAATGACAGATAGTTTTTATGATAATTTGTCTAATCCGCTTGTGGATCCCTTAATTTAACTTTGTCTATTGTCACTACTTTTGGTATTTTTATTAACATAATTTTAAAATAATAATAATACATTGTAATTATATGTACATATTATACAATATATAATAATTAAAAACTTTAATCCATACATATATTTTAAAAACTTAAATCAAATTTTTTTTCGAAAACCTTGGTCAAAAGAAAAATTTTATTTCCCCTGAATTTCAACTTATGAAGATCCACTGTATATTATTTTTATTCTCAGTGATAATGACTTAAATATTTATATTTGAATTAAATTTGTGTGTTTTGATAAAAAACATTTAATAACTTTATTTTATGATTTTCTAAAAAATTTGAAGATAGTCATTTTATAAAGTTTATTATATTCTCTTGAAATTTTGACTTTATAACTTCTCTTCTAATTAAATTCACAGTTTTTAATAATTTTTAAAGTTCAGTTATTTATTAATTGTACACTTTTTCTCAGAACTAGGAATTATTAAAATCACAAATTTGATGAAAATCAAGTTAATAATGAAAATTGTTCAAAACAATAAATAATATAAAATGGCTATTTACAAATTTTTCAAAGAAAAAAACATTAAAAGGATATATTTTGGTTTTTACTAAAACATAAAAATTTAATTCAAATATAAATAGTTTTATTCCTTTTCCCATAGAGTAATATAAAAAAAAAAAATTATTATTGTTATTATCTCAGGAGATGGGAGATATTGCAATGGATATATCTTGGTGGGACATTTTGTCAATCAGTATGCAAGTGTTATATAATTTATATTTGTCTAATATTTATTATATAATTAAATCAATTATTCATCCAAAATATACAAAAATAAACAGCATTGGTAGGTACTTAAATATACTTTTTGTATTCTTAAATTGTTATTTATCGAGAGTAAATATTATTATGCAAGTAAGTGCATATTGTGTATAAAATTAAAAAAGAATTAATTAGAATGTAAAGTAAATATAAGCCATTAAAACCTTTTCAAGAGCTGTTATTTTAATTCCAACATTCTCAAGTTTGAAAACGTTTAAGTTAATTATATTATTATATCTATCATTGCAGAAAATTCTTGAGTGGTTATGTTTTATACACTAATGAACAAATATAATTTATATTCGCTATTCTTATACTGATTATAAAGGGTGTTCCATGAAGATATATCCATTGTAATATCTTCTAAGGTAATAAAGATAATCAAATTCTGTTTTTTTTTTTTTTTTTTTACATATTACAGGGATAAGAACTATAAATATTTATATTTGAATTAAATGTATGTTTTTGATAAAAATAACTTAATTATATTATTTTCAAAAATGTTGATTGTTCAATTTATTAATTCATGATTTTTAATAATTTTTTAAAGCTCAGAGAAAAAGTGTTTAGTAAATTAGCCATAATAATAATCAATTAGTAGATAGGATTGCAGTCTGCTGCATAATTACAGGTACTTTTCTGATACTCTCTATGTTCCAAAATAGTCATATGACTTAATAAAATATTATAAATTAAGGTTACCCTCAATTTATATTCATACACAATTAGTACAACACATACAAATGTTATGCTCTATCATCTTATAAATGCTGTACATATTAAGTGTACTTAATACTTCATAATATTATTTTAAAACTTCATGCAATTTTTAAAAATATAATTTAAAAAAAATTGTATTTGTCAATAAGGAGTGGCCAAACCAGGAAAAAGGGAGACAGTAGTTTTTTAATAGTTTTATTTCATTAACATTATTGTAAAAAATACAATTTCTTTTCTATTCTGAATTGTACAAGGTTGGTAATAACTTGTATAGGTATATGATACAGGTTGTAACATAATTTGTTAGTTGGTTGTATAGCTTCTATATGTATAGTCTCTTGTGTAAATATATAAACTCATTAAAACTAAAAATCCTATACCTACTATTGGTCATATTGTCATAATGAACCCAATACCCATCCACATATAAAAAAAGGGTCACATGGGGCTATAGCCCAATCAACCATACCCACATTATATTTGCAATGTCACTTTCAGTCTCTCATGTAAATACCTTTGATGTTTCACTCACCATGAAATAATTATTAAGGGAATAAAATGTATAAGAAAATTTGTTTTTACATATCCGCAAACATTTATAATTTTTTTCATTTCTTTTTATGTGTTCGTTGATGAAATTGTTTGATTAAACAAAATTATACCTGTATAGTACATTTTTCATGTACTTAATGAATAAATAATGACTTATTTGATATTATATTTCATTCTAATATTATTATAAAATTAATAATTGTGGCAGGCTATAACAAACCAGCACCGTAACATATTATTGATAGTTCTGGTTTTTGTGAAGTTCTGTTTTGTATTCATAAATAATTTTTCAGATATTAATGCACCAAAAGAATCTTTTAACCGTTGGCTTATTGAACGAAAAGTATCTGATACAGGTTGCGATCCTCTTTTGCCATCCAATTGCTTTACAGAAGTTTCTTCAAGAATGTATTGTGAAATTATGAACGATATTCCTTTAAGATTGTCTAAACCCAAGTATACAGCAGATGCTCGCAAACAGTTATCTATTTATGCCGAAGCAGCTAAAAACCTTATAGAATCTAGGTAATTAACATAACATTTAGATTATACATCATTTTTTTATATATATAAAACTATATTTTTGTGAAGGGTACATAATTTAATTTGTACATGCTGGACTTGTGGTGTAGATTAAATTGTATGAATTCATTATTTCATTAAGATCACTCTTTAAGACAATTTTCTATAGCCTTTTAAATTCTTAATAACTTTTGATTGATTTTATAGGAACACATTGCAAGATAGCAGGAAAGTTGTGAAATGGAACACTGAGGATACTTTACAATGGTTAAGAAAAACAGTTGGTGCTACATATGTAGATTTTCAAGAAAGATTAAACCATTTGAAGGTAAACATACAAAAACGTAATATTATTTTAATTACATTAAATTGAATACTATTTATAATAAAATTAATATATGACAATATACCCCTCCCCCAATTTTCCTCTCATATTGTTTTTAAATAAAACTATTTGAATATGCATTTTTTTTCTTTTATATCTAATTAAAAAAAAAAATTAAATATAATTATAGATAATTCAATAATATTAACCAAAAACTCATTGCAATTAGAGTTCTGTTTTGTACAATTTAAATCTAAAATTGAGTTAAAAAGTTCTATAATTGCTTAGACTAGTAAAATAACATTCTTATGTAATCTTACATATATTTATTGGGATGTAATAATCCACTTATTATTGGATCAAATATACATTGATCAATCAATATATATACAGTGGAACCTCGATAACTCGAAGGAATACCTTGGCCCCTGGCTTCCAATATATGATATGTGTGTGATATGTATATGTTTTCCATAAGTCGAATTTTCGATAACTTAAATTTTTTTTTCGCCCCCAACCGATTCGAGTTATTGAGGTTCCACTGTATATATAAATATTTATTCTTTATTCTATTACACATTAATAAAACATTTGATATTAAACAAAATAATGAATAATTACAAATCCAAATTCTTATTTTTATTTTTTAAATATGGGAAAAGGGGAATTTTCCATTTACCAAAATATATACATACATTTTTGCATTATTATTTAAAATCCACAATTTATAATTTCAGGCTCAGTGCCAGCCTCATATTGCACAAACTGTCAAAGAGTCTGTGGAAGGTATTTGTTCAAAAGTGTATCATTTATCAGTTGAATATGCCCGCAAGGTAAAAGAAAAAAATAGTGAACTTTTGGCAGCACAGGGAATTCAAGGTTAGTCAATAATTCAAATTAATTAATTGCCAATTTCACCAAAAAACACTAATCATTGTTTAATATATGTAACGCAGTAAATTACCTTGTTTGATTTAGTCATTATAATCATTATTGTATTAACAGTGATTTTTTGATCAACTTCATGAATTACTATTAACTTCTGTATCTGTAATGGTTCTATGACAATAGAGTGAAAACAAAATGAGCAAATACAAATGTGAGCGAAAAAAATTTAAATTATTAAAAATGTTTTTAATTAAAATTAGAAATAAATCACAAATTGTATGGGATATCTTCCAGTTGAATATTGAATTGTATAATAGTCGTTAACAATATGAACAAAATTTCAACAAAACAATGACAACTCATTTATTATAATTTCAGGATTATCTTAAGTTTCAACAGCACACTTTTTAATGTTTTCGAATACAACTTCCGCTTTATTGTAAATATCAGAAATGTAATTATGATCAAAAGGGGCTTTAATGATTTCATCGTATTTTATATTAAATGTTCTTTATATCCATGTATCTAAACACCACCAATATTCAACATATTATGTAACAATTCAACTGCCTGAAAAATAAAAACATTAATATGTTAAATATATGTAATATTAGAACACCACCAATTCAAATTGTAATCGCAAACTCATCGAATCCTAAAATATGGAACTGTCGTTTCTCATAGTACCTACATAATATTGCTCATGTAAAATATTTAAAAGAGGAAAGTTAGAAAATAATTCATGAAATGTTTATACACAATTTTAAAACTGGATTTTTCGCCATATATGTTTTTCTCATTTTGCTTTCATGCATTTGCACTCTTATATTTACCCTCTATTATTGAGATACCATCTGTGATATGATATTATATTTTAGATTCTGAGCGAAAAAGGAATTTATTGGTTTTACAATGGCTGTTTATTTTTTTTTTTTTTTATATGTGAACAACTTTGCAACAGCATTTAGATTTAGGTTCAAGATAAATACTTTCTAGTGTCTTATGGATAGAAATATTATTACTAAAAATAGAAAATTAGATCCTAGATAGTTTAGAAAAGTGCTCGATAGATTTAAGAATTTCGGTTAGTTAACAATTTTTATCATACTCGAGACAACCCTTAATTTAATCCAGAATGATAGAACCTGGTTTTTGGTAGTGTGAACCACTTAAAAAAGTTAAGTTTTGTTCATCCAAATTATTAAAACTATCATTTTTTTCTCCTATTCATTTACATTAACTAATGGCATAGTCTTCATTTAAATACTCTTGACTTACAAAGAAATGATTAATGATCAAAATCTAAATGAATAATTTTATATTGATAAATTAAAATTAACATAAATTAATTAATATTGATTAATTTGTATAGTAAAAATAAAGTTTTAAATCTTTTTGCATTTGTAAATTTAACTAAAACTATTCCTATTTGATTTTTAAATATATTTTGTGTATTTAGAAATCACACCGGCCCCTGCAATGTTAACATTGCATAAAGTTTGGTGTTATCCTGTTCAGTTTATAACTCCAGCACCCAGACTTCCACCTATAGAATACATGGCTGATAAAGATCAGACCTATGTTCGGTTCAATGGAGAGAGGCTACTCATTAATACTATGTATCTCCAGAAACTGGTAAAGAATTTTTTTAAAAATTAATATTTTAATGGATGATGTAATACTTATATTTAACTATTTTTACAGGAACAATTGTATCGCTACAGCTGTTTTGAAGATAAAAAAATGGAATACTTTATGTCTAGAGTGTGGTGTTTATTAAGAAGATACAGTGTTTTTTGTGCAAACAGCCCTGAAACTCAAGTTTCTGTGCCTGTTCCAGTTTTAGAATCTCTACATAGATATTTTGGTGTGACATTTGAGTGTTTTGCATCCCCATTGAATTGCTATTTTCGGCAGTATTGTTCAGCATTTCCGGATACTGATGCTTATTTTGGATCTCGTGGGTTTGTATACATTTTTATTATAGCAGTTTTGAATTTGAATTTAGTTTTCGACTTTCCCAGAGTTATGTTTAGTGATCACATATAATTATATTTATTTTAGAATTATTAAATTGTTCAAAGACAACTATTATGTTGTTATTTTGTTTTTTATAATATCTACCATCAATTAAAAAAAAATTTTTTAAGTTACTATTGTAGATTTAACCAAAATATCTTTATATCTGAAATTTATTATTTACCTTCATTATTTTTTTAAAATTTCAGATCGATTTTGGATTTGAATGCGGTTAGTGGGTCATTTATGGTCAATCCACCAATTCATTGTAATGAATTAATTGAAGCCACTCTAAATCATATGGATCATTTGTTGTCTGAATCCAGTGAGCCTCTATCTTTCATAGTTTTTCTAGCAGATGGTGAAACAGCATTTGTTGATAAGTTAGAAACTAGTCAATTCAAAAAACGTGAGATTGTGATACCTGCATTTGAACATTATTATAGACATGGATTCCAATATAGTGTACCAAAGTATGTATGCAATAATAGATGTGTTTGAAAACTTAATGAATAATATTATCTTTTTAGGGCTGAAGTAAATGTGAGATCTCCCACGAGCACATTAGTAGTTTGGCTGCAAAACAACGCTGGTTTTCAACAATGGAGTCCAACTGAAGAAAAGGTAGATGCTCTTTTGCAAGATTTCCGACCAGGGCGGGAGCGTGATCGGGATCGCCAAGAACTCTTATCACCAGCACCTAACCCCATTTAAGGTCCTCTGCCACTTCCTGTTTAGTATTAGTTAACATAGCTATATGTGGTAGTACTATGTACCACTCTAATACTACTATTAATATGTGACAGTTAGTTTTTTGTTAAGTGTATATTATATATATTTCTATTTATATATTATTTATATGGATGAAGCATTTACTCATTATTCAAGTTTTTAAGTTTTAGTTTTTACATTTTATTTAAATGCCAATTATTGATATTTATTTCGCCTATTTGTTAGTGAAAGTATTTTATAGTGTTAAATTAGATTTTTTTTTGGATTCTGAGAATTTTATCTATAGCTAGACTATTGTTTAGAGAAGAATATTATTTAATTTATTTTTTGATCTAATTTCTACTATAAGGTAATAATGATTTATCATTTTATTGTCCAACAATAGAATGTAAATTGGAAAGAAAAATATATCAGAATTTCGTCCATATATTCAAATGTTTGCAATGGATTGTTGTATATCAACAATTTCCAATAGCACATTACAGAATATCGAATTAATATTATTTAGAATTTAAGGGCTAGTGTTAAGGGATATCTGCAATTTTCAACTCAAACTTAAATATGTTATGTGCATACAATTGCCTAACATTTAATTAACTTATTTATAAGTACATTATATTTATTAACATTGTATAATACTTAACTAAACTAATCTGCTTGTCTATCTAACATATTGATTATACAATTATAACTATTTATAATAAAAAGTCTGAAAGAACTTCATACTTTATAGTCAATAATTTTGTTTTTGATGTAAACCTACTAATTTGCGCACAATATATGTACTTTAAAGATGTGTATTTATTGATCATTATTAGCGGTCTTTTGTCTGTACTTAGTGTTTTATTCATAATTGTTTCCAATGTTATCTTAATATTATTTGTTATACATTGGTGATTTAAATGTACGTTCTTAAATTATACCATATACAAATAATGTAGTTTTCCTCAGCCTAACTTCTTAATTAGATTTTATAGTTAACTTTGTATAAGATATTGTTAAATTAAAATTAATTTTTTAAATTTTTTTGATTATCTCTATAATATCTTTAAATTAAAAAAAATAATCTTAAGTAATTTGCCAAAGTTATAATTATCATTGGTTTGTTTATTATAACTGTTGCATTGTGCATTAGTAAACATTGTTTTGTCTTTCTTATAAAAAAGCAGTATAGTTTATGTATAATTATGAATCTATGTTGTATTATTAATAAATATTAATAACAAAATTAAATATAGTACATTTAAAATTAAGTAAAGTTCTCTATTATTAAACTTTTATGTTAAAATATTATTCTTTAAGCAGTAATACTTTAAGTGGTAATACGATTAATATATGTTATGTTTTATGTAATTTAAAAAATATGTAAGTTATATTAATCAGGATAATTTGTGATTTAAAAAAAATATCTCACCTATGAAAAGTTTTTAATCTTGAAATAGCTATTACATAGACTTCAACAAATGTATTTCAATTTCAGTATATTTATAGGAGAAACGTAGTAATTTGAATTTGAAATAATTGTTTCTTATAATTATTATATTATTAAATTACTATTATTAGTATTGCATTGCATAATAATAATCTGTCCATAAATAAGGAGTAATTGTATATTCTTAAACTGTGAATTATTTCGACTCACATAACAACATTTTGTTTGTAACATTAAATAACAAGATTATACATTACAATTTTTAAAATAAAACCTTATTAATAAGTTATTGTAACAAAATTGAATATTATTTATTTGGCTTCTGTGGTCAGTATATTATAATTTTTATTATGGTTTTATATTTCAAAATGTATTATATTATAAGAATGTCTCCTTATATCATAAATCATCAAAAATACTTTTTAATATAATAATATATTTACTCACTTCCAATTGCATTTATAATAATAATTAAATATTGGTACCTAATTCCTATACAATACTACAATAATGAATACATAATTTAAAAAACATGAAGATTCTCTATTGCTTCTTAAATTTTTAAAATTTTTATTAGTACTATAATTAATAAATATTTTAGAAAGCAAGCCCAACATATTATAGTCCATTGTTACAGGGACGAAACATCCATTTAATGTTACACTCCTAGCAGCATTCAGAATCTTAAAACAATAAAAAAAGTTGAATTTGAATTTTAAGAATCATTCCCCATTTAAAATTATATTAAATAATTTATTTAAATATCATATTTTTACAGATTTAATTGGCTGGCTATCAAAATAAAAATAAAAATAATTATTTTATTAGAATTAATAACACAATGATTGGTAATGAGTATTTGGTGAGTTCTAATTAAGAGGACATAATACATCTACTGTAGTAGGAATATCAATTTCAAAGAAATCATTTTTTGTAATTTGAATTGTAAGCAGTTTTAATCCAAGTAAATTATATCATTGAATTTGATGATTTTATGATAAACTGGAATACTATAATAGTACAAAATCAATGTTTATATTTTACACCCATTACCTGCAAAATATTACGATACCAAATCGAATAAGTACAGACAAGTATACTATTGAGATATTAATGTCTAATCGGTTCATGAGGTCACAATTTAAGTACAGTTTACACTGATATTATTTTTGTAAATTTCATACGGTAAGTATAAACTAAATTGAAGCAATTATTATTGATAACTTGTATGTTGGAAGACATAAAAAGTGTTAGAATAGTGTTAGATTTATGAATATAATACCGTATTAACATGATTTGATTTCCGAAAAAACAAAACACCAGAGCGAGCCACCAGTAACTATACACGTAAACGCAGCCAAAATTAGTAAAATGACTTATTAAATAAAAAAAAAGTAGTGAAATAATTAATTATGAACTACCATCTGAGTTATCCTACGAAACAGCCGCTTCAAAAACAAATTTGTTGGGTGTATATATGTAGTAATTTATCATAAGGTATATTAACGAATAAGACTAAGTACAGAAATGTCTAATAGCTTTATTTACCACTGTGATTCGCCAGGAATATTGGGTTGTACCTATGAAATTGTTTGTATTTTTATTTAACTGAAACTATTTCGTAGTTCACGCGGTTCGACTTCATTCTACCTCACATCATGCGAAGTATGTCTGTGTTTTTAAAAGAAAGTAAAACGGATTACCGTCGCGTAGATCACGTGTTGGTCAATTACTTTTTCGATATATAACGAATATTATATAGAGTACGATGCGAAAGCCTACCGATAGGTGACGCTTTTCTAGTATTCCAATTGAAAACAAGAGAAAACCGTGTAAAATTCAAAATTCTTCGTACTATTGATGATGAAAATCCCGAAATTACACGTAATTCAATTTCGATAGAATGCACGCATGCACTATTCGGTTAATAAAAATAACACAAAATGACCAAAAGTAACATGAGTTTATTTATATTCGTAACAGGGTGGGACAATCGAATACACTATAAAGTGTGGCTTATGTTAACATGTTCTGTAGGTCGCCCAGTGATGTGTGATTAGCAGGATTGCTGTGATCTAGTAAGGGGTATGACGATCTTCAGAGATCCGCCCCCTAGTATGATCAAAATTATTAATCTGAGGGCGACCTACCTTAAAGCGAATAGATCGGTCTTGTCTAGACCATCGTTCGCGCTTTTTTCGAAACAATCAAATCTTGGGAAATTTCCAATTGACCAATAATCGTAGAGTGGAACCTCTGAAAAGCGGACACTCTTGGTGACCGGAAATTCGTCCGTTATTCGGTGGCCTCGGCTGTTCTGAAGACATGGACGTACTTACGAGCAAGAAAAGGATTTATTGGGTTTGACATTCTACCCATCGGTGGTATTTATTTTTAGATTTAGAGCGAGATAAGTAATGAAAATAATTTCAAAGTTCCGAATTCTAGTGAGGTTGAATTAAATAAATCAGAGGTCGTTGGAAGAGAAATAGAGAAAAGATCTAAAAGAAAGATTAAGGCACCAATTAGGTACAGAAATGAACGACTTAAATGTACTCAATGATTAAACAATGTAGGTGAAGGTACGTGTAATGTCTTTGACAACATAATTTTAACCAGCAATATTATATATTCCATGTTTTAGGATTTAATATTATATATATTCTGAGGAACATTACGTACATGTCTCTTTTTTTTTTCACTAAAATATGATTATATGTAATAGTCTTTTTACTTATACATAAATTATTAATTATAATTTTTTTTTTCTTTAAAAGTTATTCAGTCACAGAGACCCAAACATACATTACACATTGTATAATTCTGTCCATTGGAATCTACCCATGTGGGACTGCTACAGAAATATCTTAATCATACTCTTATTTTGGAAAATTTAATTTATTAGGCAGAAAATTTTGTACTCGCACATAACCCAACCATAATATATTATTGAATAGTAAATTTAACCAAACTGAATTACAATTATTATGAGATATAGGTTTCAAGTTTTACGGTGGATAATCAACAAGAAATTTGTTTACTGATTAGATTTACACTTAACAGTTACAATATGTACATGATTATAGTTTCATCATGGTTACTTATGCATGCACCTCTTTAGATAAGCACAAAATAACAAACAAAAATTTAATAATTTACAGCAATTTAGATGATCAAGAAAGTTGATTATTATAATTTTAATGTATATTATGTTAAAATTTCCTTCATATAAATATTTAATTTCGGCTATTCAGTATATTCATTTTTAGTTCTGTGTACTTAACAGTATTAATTATAGTAGATATGTATGATCAGTATGGTTTTACATTATTACTTGATGAAACAGAAATTTGAGAATAATTAAGTTTTATAAAATATTAATAATTATTATATCAGAGCATCATTTATTAAATAATAACTTTAATCAATGCAAAATAATACAATAACATATGTAGACTTCATTCGCATAGTCCATATTATAAAACATTTTACTAATTTTCTATAAATATCTTAAATTTTTATGATGTACAATTTAATAAAAGTATATAATTATTTAGTTTTCAATATTTCATAAATAATACATATATATAAGCACTTAAGAAACATAATATGCCCTTACACAAAAATTATTTTTGTTTATTATTTAAATACAGATGCATTGTTATTTCATGTGAACACACAAAAAAGTCTTATTAAGAGAAATAAGTACTGGAATGTTCACATTTTTTATTTAAAAGTTTGATGGCACTAATACACAGAGATGAAAGAACGCGAACTAAAGTTTTTCAATTTTGTCTGTAGGCTAGTTGATTCTTATCATGGTAGTAGAAGAAAATTAAATGATTACCTATATAATAGAGCTGTAAAGATTAGATAATTACAGTTTCGATAAGAAGTAGATAGATAATTTAGGTCAGAATATCTAATTAGACGATTTTACATTCATTTGGGACTATGCCAATTTGTCCCCATTAAGCAGTTGTTCCCTTTATGGGGTTTCCCAATTAAGTGGTTTCTACTGTACTGTGTTATGAAATAAAAATAGAACATGGGTCTATAATTTCAGTTATTTTATTTAATATAGTTCAATAGGTTACAAGGAAGGGCCATAATATTTCACTAGTTACTAATTTTGAAGTCTCTTGTTTGGTAAATCTTATTTTGTAAAAGTAGAGGTTGCTCTGCTTTATTGCAATATATGATATACTATTGGAGCTCCTTTTTCATCTGAAAAAAAAAAAATTTTAATAATTATTATAATCATACATAAAAAGCGAAAATGCTCTAGTGGTTATTACATATATTTAATTATTTATTTATTGAAATGTAATATAGTTTGATGTATTATCAACTATCGGTATATGCATATTACCATAGCCATGTTACAATCATAAAGAAAATAATTATGCCTTTGTTTTATATTTCTTTGTGTCCACTAAGTTTTAAATAAAAGAGATTTGGTCATAAAAATGCCCTTCTGGAATCAAATAGTAATTACCGATACTATTTCAATTAATTAAAATAAAAAAATAAAATATGTCAATGTTATTAAATTTAAGTTAGTATTGTAATAACACTTTTGGTATTAGCTGTAGATTAGAAATCTTGGAAATGGTAATATACAAATTGCCTTATAAGAATTATTTCTTTAAAAAATCATTATTTCAAAGGCAATTTAAAATTCAAAACTACAAGAATAAGGTTATTTTAATAAAAGAAATGACAAATAAACTAACCACAATTATAGAATTGAACAACTTAGTTAATTAAACTAAGTTTTAATGAAATCCTAAATAGATTTGTGTATTTGTTATTAATTTATGAACAGAGGAAAAACATGCTCATTGACCACAAATATGAAGTTCCAGAAAGAGACTTTTAGTGACAGTATTTTAATACACACTCTAATGTAAAGTCTTCTAATAAGCTAATAAATGTTTATTTCAGTGAAATATTTTAATTTTATTTGTATAAAATATGAGATAGGTATTGTTTTCCTTGTAATTTAATTTCAAACAAATAACAAATAATAGGTATATTACTTCACTAAACTAAAAGATACATATTTTGAAACATTAAATAAAATTAAAAATCAAAAATCAAAAAACCAAAAGGTATGAAATATCAACAGATTGAAATGTTGACTAAAAACATCAAAATAATAAAATTTGGACAAACCAGTTTATTATTAGATATTAAAGTAATACTGACAAAATAAATAATTTATAATTTTAATAAGAATATAAAAGTCATTTTATTTTGTTTAAATAATATTAATCATTTAAAATGAAATATTACTGTTAACAATAGTATATTATACATTTTGTTATCTGGGAATATTTCATTTTAAATGATTAATATTATTTAAACAAAATAAAATGACTTTTATATTCTTATTAAAATTATAAATTATTTATTTTGTCAGTATTACTTTCATATCTAATAATAAACTGGTTTGTCCAAATTTTATTATTTTTGATGTTTTCAGTCAACATTTCAATCTGTTGATATTTCATACCTTTTGGTTTTTTNATCCTGGACGACATTTTTGCCGTTGACAATTTAAGAATTGTTTATCTATTTCATTACTTATCATATTCATAGCATCAGAGTGTGCTATGTCAAAAAGGTCCTCGAACTTTTCGATAAAGATATTTTCTTTTTTTGTTTGCGTATCAGTTCGCCTGGACGAATCTTTTTGCAAATTTCGCCATTCGTTGTACATCGCTTCTAATTTTGGTATACAATGACGTATTTCTCTGTTCGGAATACGAGCTTTTTGCCAAAATATTATAACCTCTTCTATGACTAATATATATATTTCGTATGGTTTAGATCCAACACTAAAAACACAAATAGATATCGTAACAATAACAACTAACACTACAGATAAATGATATAGATAATATAAATATAAATTAATAAGATATGGGAGCTTATGATGTATTAATAATTAGTCAAGTAGATAGAATATAAAATATAAGTCGGGATAGTGTTTACAATGTCCAGATTGGTCAGCCAGTTTGTTGCTGCTGTTGTGGCCTTATGGAGGTGTTTCATTCCGCCTCGTATGCTGCGTATTGGGCATTCTTCCACGATGTGATTGGCTGTCTGAGTTTCATGTCCGCAGTCGCATTGTGGTGTGTCCCGAAGTCCCCATTTATGGAGCATATTTCCTGTTTTTCCGTGGCCAGTTCTAAGTCTATTTAGGGTCACCCATTCCTTCCGGGGTAGTTGGAACCCCGGAACCCTTTCTGTAGGTTGTTCTATGAGATTAAATTTGTCGGGATTATTTAGTCTCCATTCTTCAGTCCATTTAGAGTTAAGGTTATAATTAATTAATTTTTGTGCCAGCTTCCAAGGAGGCTTACGAGATTTTGATCTTTGGCTGAGATTATTATTAATATACTTGTGTATGGGTAGACTTCGATTTAAGGCATGGTTGTTATATTCTCGAACTAGGGAATAGTATCTTCGGAGGTGAGGTGGCGCTATATTGCTCAATACTGGTAGCCAAGAGGCTGGTGTTGACTTAATTGCTCCGGAAATTGTCCTCATCGTTGCGTTTAATTGGGTGTCTATTTTACTTGTATGTGAGCTGTTAAGCCATACTGGTGCACAGTACTCGGCTACCGAGTAGGTGAGGGCGAGTGCAGATATCCTAATCGTGTTCGCATCTGAACCCCAGGTAGTTTGGGCCAGCTTATTTATTATATTGTTTCGAATTTTAATCTTTGCTGCCACCTTGGTTAGATGTTCTCTGTATGTCAGCGTTCTGTCCAATGTTATTCCTAAATAGGTTGGGTTGGGATTATTCCTAATTTGTTGCTCATTGAAGACCACCTTTATTTCCTGTCTTGCCATTTTGTTGTTGAGATGGAACAATGTAACCTCAGTTTTAGTTGGGTTTGGTGTAAGCCTCCAATTATTGCAGTACTTATTTAATTCACTCAGGTCTTCCGTGAGGTATTTTTCACAGAGTTTGTATGTCTTTTCTTGATGCAGCCTTGTGGCAGTCCGTTATTTAGGGTTCTTTGCTTGCTTTTACTATTACCTATGGTTACTGTGAGAAGTCTGTTACTCAGCATACTATTTATGATACCATTTATTGTTTTGCATGGTATAACTCGTAGAAGTTTAGTGATAAGCCCTTCGCGCCATATCATATGCCATATCATAAGATCTATGAAGACTGCAGCAAATTTTAACCCTTTTTCAAAACCATCTTTGATGTTTGCGGTCAGCGACAGAACATGGTCACAGCAATTCCTGTTTGGTCTAAATCCGGCCTGTTCTATTGGAATAGTTTTATTAACGGTTTCTGCAATTCGGTTATATATAAGTCTTTCGAAGACCTTGTAGTTAACACTCAATAGGGATATTGGTAGCTCTTGACATCATTATCAGGTTTCTCTGGTTTTAAAATAGCCAGGACTTTTGTCTTCTTGAATTGTTTAGGAAATTTTCCAGAACATAGTATATTTGTAAAGAACGCTGCTAGCCATTGATGAGTCTTAAGTCCACAGTGTTTTAGGAATTCTGGATGTACTTCGTCGAAGCCCGCTGCTTTACCAGTTTTAATTGCTTGGATTGCTGTTTGAATTTCAGGTTCGGTGAAATCGTTCGCAAAATTTGTTCTCATTTCTCCATTCTTTTTCAATTCTTTCAGTTCTTTTTTAATATTTTTTGTTGCGTTTTTATCAACTTTTGCTCTGGATAGCTCGATGATGCGGCTCGCGAAGTGGTCAGCCTTGATTTTCACAGCGATATGTTTTCGCTTGGTGTTAGAATCTATTTTTCTTAGTAAATTCCAAGCTTTCCTGCTTGACTTTTTGAAATTCATTCCTTCAACTGTCTTAATCCATTTTTCGCTGCGGGTTTTTGAGAGGGAGGAAAGAAGTTCGTCAGCTCCAAGGTTATCATTCGTTTCTTGGTATTCTTTGTATAAATCTTCGCTTTCTTGGCTCCAACCCGGGATGAAGTTGAACTTGAATTAAATCATGATTTAGAGGCTAATCTACTTTATATAAAATCTAATTTTGGTTTCATTCCTTCAGAAATAAAAAAGCTGGAGGCTTCTGGAATCTTATTATCAGAATCTATTAATAAAATAAAACAAATTGAGACTACATTGTTCCATGCTCTTAATGTAATCGGAGAAACAATATTAAACAAACTGAAAAATGTTTTGATGAAAAATAATAAGTTCAAAGTTTTAAAAATATATCTTCTATTCTGGAGGGTGAAAATACAACAAGTATAGATGGTATTCAGGAAGCCCTAACTTTAAATGATATGGTTCATTTCAAATATGCCCCTGTTACTTCTGTGGACATTAGATGAGGTTTTTCTTCATATAAAAACATTTTATCAAACCGCCTGGGCTTCCTGTTTGAAAATTTTAAGAATCATCTAATTGTGCAATCCAATAATATGTGTACGGGTAAAAAAAATATGATATATTTTTTATTAAATTATGTTAATTTATGATTTTATTGATTTTTCAGAATAATTATACTAGAAAGCAGTTACATTCACAAGTCAAATTTATACCTATTTTGATCATAATTATTAAATAATATTTTAAAAATAAAAAAGTTTTTAGGTCATTGTTGCATTTTTTTTTTTTTTTAGTGTATTATTTAGGTCATTAAAATCATAGCTCTAATAATAAGTCAATATCTCTACAACAAAACATTGTTTCAAAATAAATTCATAAAACATTAACTGTTAATTTTCTAAAAATAATATTTTTATTTTTATTTTTAATTTTAAAAATAAAATAAAAAGAAAAAAAGGAAAATATTGAACAGAACAAACTTTACTTTACTTTTCTTAATTTAAGTAGGTTTAGGTTAATTTATGTTACAACCCATACCTGGTTATTTTCAATTATCTACTTATGTTTAAATAATATTAATCATTTAAAATGAAATATTACTGTTAACAATAGTATATTATACATTTTGTTATCTGGGATTATATACTTTTTTTTTAAATTATGTTTTAAATAATTTTAAATTGTGAGTCGAACAAGGAATGATTATACAAAGATGTTTATTTTATTTATGTGAACATTTCTACCAGAAAGTATACTTTGATTATCAAGAGTAGCATTCTTCTGAAAGGAAATGTTTTCTGGGTGGTAATTTTTTGAAATAATCATTAATATTAGAGAAAAAAAAGAAAATCAAAAAAAGATTGTCATTAGCAACAAGTTTTTATTAAGTATTTGTTATCATTCTTTNCGACAGAACTTGGTTACAGCAATTCCTGTTTGGTTTAAATCCGGCCTGTTCTATCGGAATAGTTTTATTTACAGTTTCTGCAATTCGGTTATATATAAGTCTTTCGAAGACCTTGTAGTTAACACTCAATAGGGATATTGGTCGGTAGCTTTTGACATCATTATCAGGTTTCCCTGGTTTTAAAATAGCCAGGACTTTTGTCTTGAATTGTTTAGGAAATTTTCCAGAACATAGCATATTTGTAAAGAACACTGCTAGCCATTGACGAGTCTTAAGTCCACAGTGTTTTAGGAATTCTGGATGTACTTCGTCGAAGCCCGCTGCTTTACCAGTTTTAATTGCTTGGATTGCTGTTTGAATTTCATGTTCGGTGAAATCGTTCGCAAAATTTGTTCTCATTTCTCCGTTCTTTTTCAATTCTTTCAGTTCTTTTTTAATATTTTTTGTTGCGTTTTTATCAACTTTTGCTCTGGATAGCTCGATGATGCGGTTCGCGAAGTGGTCAGCCTTGATTTTCACAGCGATATGTTTTCGCTTGGTGTTAGGATCTATTTTTCTTAGTAAATTCCAAGCTTTCCTGCTTGGCTTTTTGAAATTCATTTCTTCAACTGTCTTAATCCATTTTTCCCTGCGGGTTTTTGAGAGGGAGAAAAGAAGTTCGTCAGCTACAAGGTTATCATTCGTTTCTTGGTATTCTTTGTATAAATCTTCGCTTTCTTGGCTCCAACCCGGGATGTATTCTTTTCTGTATCCTCTAGGTATATGTTTTTTAGCTATCCCAATCATAAAGCCAGTAAAACGATCGTAGTTTTTAACTTCTGGTCTTATCCATCTGATACAGTCGTCAAGTTTGCTAAATTCATTCCAGTTGGCTTTATTGAAATTCCATCTGGGTATCAGGAGTGATTATTTTACTATTGGAATCTGTATTCCAATGTTTAAAGCTACAGGGTGGTGTTGGCTATGGAGAAAATCGTATGACTAATCGAGCACTATCTCGTAGACTCAATTTGACTTCACGCATATTATGAAATAAAACCCTTAGAACTTGTTTATTTGAAGGTAATTTACAACCAAAAAGTTGATGTGTAGTATGTTTAATTAAATAAATATTTTCACGCAAATTAATTTTGTCCGTCATATTATTACAACACTTTAACATTAATTAAAAAAACAACGGAAAACATATAAATGAATAACTACATTGAACTAACGTAAAAACAAACAAAATAACACAAGAACGATATCGTGATCGACGACCGTCCAACAACTAAATACTTACAAGCATAAATAAGCTTTATCGTTATAACGTGTTATTTAATAATAATCTGTAGACGCTAATAGTTAATTGTAAAATCCCAATGATAATTTTATTTAGTTATTCACTATAATCTTAATAAAGATATAGTGGAATAATATAGTGGAACACCAAAGATTATCTACAATATCTACCTACTTAATTTGATTAGATAGTAAAACTATGATGGTTTAATACCTACAAACCCAACGTGTTAACTGTACGCCTAACGCTGTTAACCGAAATAATCATGTAAAATATATTAAATACGAGTTTTTTTTATTTTGTGTTGGAATGAGTAATTAAACAAAAAAAGTACAAGTTACATTTTTTATAGCATATTCAATTTAAAAAATAATATGTTAAAGCACTTTTTTGCCTAACTTAAATATTTTAGGCCGAAATTGCAAAAATCGAAAAACCACCCTTCTTTGAACTTCAACCCTCCTGAGGCACGCCTTAGGGTTAATCAATATTTACAAAACTTCACACAGATCATTATTTTGTTGTTTTGAACAAATTCCAGGGGTGGCCCAATCAAAAATTTAAAAAAAAAATTTCATCATCTATACATAAGGACCACCCTAATGACCAAGTACTAAAGCCAATCTCCTCTATTAAGAAATTAAGCATTATTCTATCTGCTGATCTCTCATTTTCTGATCATATTTCTTTTATTCATAAATACAATTTGCCATAGCAAAGCGATGCGCATGATAGGATTTATCAAGCGTCAATGCTCGGACTTCAATCAAATTCAGTGTCTAAAAATTCTATTTTGTTCTCTCGTTTGTTCTAAATTGGAGTATGGGTCAATAATTTGGAATCCGTCCCAGCTTCACCTTATAAGCCATTTAGATAAAATACGGTCTTACTTCTTAAGATATTTATCTTTTAAGTTTAGGCTACTTTNAAGGACCACCCTAATATTCATACACGTTAAAATTGAATAAAGCTAATAATATATTTCTTGTATAATTAATATGCATAATTACTATATATAATATATCATTAATTATACTATTTTAATAAATTTAACTAAGTCACTTCCTATTTTGGAATTTAAGTTTCTGAACTATTTTAATCAGAAAATCTACAATTTATGTGTTAATACTTCTTAATAAAATTGATCCAAATACCCTGAACCAATCCGTAGTATAATACTTATTATAAAGGAAAATATTTTCTCTGTTGTATGTATATTATATTACAATATAGACAAATTTTAAGATGTTATGAAAATATCTAAATGTTCCTCTATAGGCACCAATTTGTAACAAATTCACAAAAAAACATTACCAAACAGATCCAAATGAGGTAATTTTTTACAGGTTCATAATATTTTTAGGTATACAAATAAAAATATGCAATTAAAAAAATTAATCTGATACTGCACTTTTCAATGTTATTCAATAATATAACGAATTTAATGTTGATTTGGCTTCTATAGTGTGTAGTAAAACACGTTTTTGATACCTCAGGACTTGGGTCCTAAACAATTTAGATAATTTCAATATACCCATGATATTATATAATATTATATGAAATTAAACTAAGTATTTGTCATGGTCCTTGTTAGCGTTATTTTATCAAATGCATGTTATAAAAGAATTGTTGTCATTCCAAATTTTTCAATATGTCACAATCAATTTACAATTGTAGGGATTTTGTGATCTGGTTGAAATTTATTACCGGGTGATAAAATTTGAAATTTTTAATTCCTAATAATCATCATTGTCATCAATTGCGGAATTGACCTCTGTCGCCGTGATATCATCAATATCGTTGTCAACCCCACATTTTAGTGTATTCATAATTTGAAACCTTGTAATCACTGATTTAGTGTTTCTGAAGTCACCTGTTTCACTGTCCAAGTTATCGTCTTATTTCGCTCGTGATTGCTTTATATTATAAATTGTTTCAGTATGAAATAGTAATGTTTCATGGTCAGCGTCCATATTTGCACATAATTTTTGAAAAACACGTGTATTGAGTGCACTATTTTTAACAGCATTCACTAACTGTATGGATATTTTCATCGCAAAAGCTAGGTCTTTTGGTAATGTTTTGGACGCCAACGTTTGACGATGTATAATACAATGTGTAGTTAATGTGGTTGGATTTTTTTGTTTTACCAATGTAGCTAAACCTGAACGTGACAAGAGCATAGCAGGAGCGCCATCGGTACAAAATCCAGCAAGATTTTCCCACATTAGTTTATGTTTTTCAAAATAATCAAGAATTATTTTCATAACTTCAACCCCTCTTGACGTAGTTTCTAATACTTGTGATAATTCTTCTTTTATTGTATTATCTCCACTTAAAAATCGAACAAAGATTAGCAATTAACAACATTGTGCTACATCCGTACTTTCGTCACACTGAAGAGCAAACCAGGGAGATTTTTTATGAGGCATATAAGCTGTTCTTCAATGTCTTGTGACATATTTCCTTTTCGCGATTTTACAGTGTTATTTGATAAAAGAATGTCTTGTATTTTTTTTGCTGCTTCCTTACCTAAAATCTCTTCTGTGGTTTTCAACAAACACGATTTAATCAAAGTTTCACCAATAGTATGAGGTTTTTTAGATTTTGCAATTAATAGGGAGATCACATATGAGGTATGATGCACTTTTTCAGAGGTTTCAAATCTCGTACCACTTGTCCCAAGTTTCATTTTTTTAAAGATTTCCTTCTTACCTTCAAAGAATTCTCGAGAACGATCACTAAAATTTAGGTGGACTGTCTTCAAATGTCGTTCAAATTTTGCAGGTTTTAGTGCATCATTACTGAGAACTGTTGTACAAATCACGCACTGTGGTCTTACTTCCTTATTCACCGTAATATTGGTAAAACCAAATTTAATGTATTCATCATTGTATTTTCTTTTCGGTGGCATATTTAATAGCAATATTATAGTAGAATATATAACTATACAAACAAATAAATGTTAATTAATCAAACAACGCACAAGAAAATATGTACCTTCTATAATAATACAGACTTTGTTTTTT